CACAGCAAGTGTCTGTCTGCGACCGCAATCTCGCCTAGAGGAAGCCACGACCACGTGTCAGAGCAGGGAAGATGGCCGCGGGTCGTGTTCGTCACCCGATGCGTAGTTCGCGAACGGAAGCAAAATTTTGCAAACGCTGCTGTTCGCGAATTGAATCGTTCGTGAACAGAAGTGTTTGTGAACTGAGGTATTACTGTACAGCATATTACAAGTTGCAAGGTGACTATGGCGTGAGTGATTGTGTGTAGGCCTTCCTGATCCAGAAAGGGGCACAACTGGCACGTACATTGGAGCCGTGCAAAGACCTTCTTAGCCACAGCTGCCAGCTTTTCAAATAGGAGCTGCCAGTTCAGGACAACCCCCAGATTATGAGGGGGTTGGTGAAGTGCTACCACACCCAAGACTGAAGTGCAAAGCCTCAGATTCAGAGGGCCCCAAGATCCACAGATGCTCCTTAACTGAAGTTCTATGGGTTTCAATTAACCCTTAAGTGAACAAAAGCTAACTTCACCTCTACGTGGTCAGTCAGACACAGCATCTTTCTGCAAATCTGCATTATTATTTTATGGAGTTCTTGGTGCTGAGCTCGGCTGCGTGCTTGCAGACGCGTCGTCACCCAGCCAAGTAGGCGCATGGGGTTTGCTGCCTGGTTGCATGGAGTCACCTGGCCTGCCCTGCCCTGCCCGTCTTGGTGGGGGTGCTCACCGTTCAATCCTGAGCTACAGATATTCTATTCTATTGGCACTGTTCACGTGCAATTAAAATTATGTTACAGATTCAAAATAAAGAAACGGTGAATGTGGTAATACAGGAACTTAGACAGCCCTTCGGTCAGTAGACTTTGTAGCCCCTCTCTAGGCAGAAATATCAGCTTTCAAACATTTCTTGTAGCCGTAGGAGGTTTTTGAATGTTTCCCATTCTCCTTTGCAGAAATCTCCTAGCTCAGGAATGCTTCTAAGTCTCCCTCCATGCACTGAACTCTCTCTCTCTCTCTCTCCCTCTCTCCAGAGATTCCCAAAAGCCCACTGTTGTCTTGTAAATTCTTCCCATGAGACCTTTACTTCTCACTTGCATTGATCCTTACTGGGACACGAGCTATGGTCAGGGCTAGAAAGGGTTCCCCCACCTGAGACCCCTTTGGGTCCAGCAGGGGATCCTGCGACTTCTCCACGCCTCTAGTCTGACCAGGCAGGAAGAGACTTGCCCAGTGGCTGGCTCTGCCAGGGCGCTCTGCTCAGACCCAGGCAGCACAGCCAGGCCAGAGGGGGGAAAGAAACGCCAGCTTCCACCCCGGGAACCCTCTCCAAGGAAACCCGACCAGCAGCCCACAGCCGGCCACTTCTCGGGACCTATTCAGGGAGGGGAGATCACCCAGGCTCTGGTCTGCAGAATGTTCCCCACCAGACCCCTTGTGAGGTCCAAAGTGCTACAGGCCACAGTCTCTCGTTTTCCACTGGCTTTACAGGAACAGCTGAGTTGTTTTGCGCTCTCGCCTGTGCAAATCCGCCCCAGCAGGTCCCAACACATCCCAGAGCACAGTATGATGTTGGAAAAGCCCTGATGCTCGGACAGGCTGAAGGCAACCTGAAAAGGTCAGAGATGACAAAGGGAGTGGATGGGATGGCTGGCGACCCAAGCAGGAGCTTATGAGACCTCGGAGAGGCAGCTAGCCAAATGGCAATGCTGCCAAGTGATGCCCACCACAGCGGTCCTGCAAGTGCTGAGACCGAGCCCTGCTCCTCCGCTCTTTCTAGAGGCAGCAGCTTTGCCCACCAATGCCCAGAACCTTAGGCGCCTCCCCAAAGCCTCAGCCCTGCCCCACCTTTGCAGGACCACTGTGGCGGGCTTCCAGCTTCACAACCCGCTGGGCATCACTTGGCAGCTGCTGATGAATGGGCCAGGTGGAAGATGAGAGCCTCCTCCTAGATGAGAAGGTGCATTGAAGGGCCAAGGAGCAACACTGAAGAGGAGCCACAGACCGCAGGGAGGAAAAGATGCGCTGGGCTTGTAGACCGTTCACTCTGCCGGGGGCTCATGATCGACCCTTTCTGGCCACCTCCCCTGCCCAGGTGAGAAGCGTGTAAGGCTTCAGCCAGCGTTTTGGCCACAGACAGGATGGCATTCAGTTTCCCCAGTGTGGACTGGCTTGCCCACAATAGACAGAATCACAAAAAAAGGGTAATAAAGGAGGTTTATTTCAGTACACAAGGGCTATTTTAGCACAATGGAGAGTAATGTAAAGACGTCCAAACCAAGTGTAAAAAAAACAGCCCAACAACATAGATCTGATCCTCTCCCAGAGCAGGAATGCAATAAATAACACGCACACCAGCAGACCAGTTCTCCCTGAGCACTGAGGGCCGGAGGAGGCAAGTGGGCCCTGCAGCCTTTCCAGGAGTTGCGCTGACGGGGCAACTGGGGTGGGGGAAGGAAGGTCGCTCAGGGCCAGCGATGCTCTTTTGGGCCCCAGCTGCAACTGATGGGGAGAGAAGGTGCCCCTCCCCCATAACTGCATTCTCTTGGCCAAACAGGTGGGCAGGAAAGTGGTGGATGGCCCCCCCGCCCCATGCAGATAGGAGCTCCTGGTTCCAACAGCCTTTGTCTGGTAAGGCAGAAGGTCCAACTCCACTTTGCCTGAGGCTCTGTCAGATCGGGGCGACTGGCAGTCTCCTGTCGAGGGAGGCCTGCTGCTTGGGGGTCATAATGGCTGGGGTGGGGGCAGGACTGGAGGCCCTTGAGTCTCCCCTCCCATCAGAGGAGCCACTCTGGTCCCAGAGCAGCCGAAGCCCAGGCAGCGGCAGTCTCCCCGCAGCAGAGGCGGGAGAGGCCCGGGGGCAGGATCCATATTCACTCCCCTGTACACCTCTGCCCAGAAGACAACCGCGCTCAAGAGCTGGTATTCTGCTCTGCCTTTGCACGCCTGGCACCCGCTCTGCCTTGGCTCGACCTGGATTAACAGCTTGGCAAACAAGCCAACGGCACAGACAGGCAACAAGGCCATCGCTCCCCACCAGCAGAAGCTTCAACCCCGAGACCCCCAGCAGACACCCGCCTGGTTTCTGCCATCTGCCCACGAAGGAGACAGAGACCCACACAGGCAGACTGTTCTTGTGGATTCTGCTGCAGACAGGATGGGGGCAGAGAGCGACTGCTCTGCTAGCAAACATTTCTAAGGGAAAACAGCCCTGCCAAATTCCAGGGACGCCAAAGCTGCCCCGGGACACCTGCGAGTCTCAGGATGCTCAGATCTGGACCAGCGCACAGTCCCCTCCCCTTCTCACTCTCACACGCAGGATCAAACAAGGAGGTTCAAGTTGCGTAAAACAAAACCGTTCTGAAGTAGTTTAGCAGTAGTTTGGGCTGCACAGAGGATGGAGGCCCCTGAGCAAGGGCCACCTCGGAAGGACAAAGTGCTCTGCCCCCTGGGAAAAGACTCGCACAGCTTAGGTTAAGATGCAGCTAACTCTGAAGGACAGAACCTCTGCTCGGAGGGACCAAGCGAGTCTGTGATGACACCCTGCTTTACGGGCAAGGGGGCACATCCCCTTTTTGAAAAATCTTCACGAGCTAGCAGAAACCTTGACACAAACCTTAACAACACCACGTGTAAAATGCCTCCTGCCGTGAGGAGACGAGCTTCCGGGGCGTTAACCAGCAGCGCCTGGTTTTCCCAAAGGTAGGTCTAGACAGACCTTTCCCCCAGAGAGCAGAGGGGACATGGGTGGTGGGACCTGGAGACCTTCCCTGTTCCTCAATTAAAGGGCAGAGGCCGGGAGGGGATGCCCCCGATTCCGAGCTTGTGTCCCAGCGCTTTGCCTGATGGCATGATGGATCCAGGGCGCAATGCCAGGTCTTCGCAGCTGAAAAGAGCAGTCTTCCCAGTTGCTCCAACCTCCCTGCGGGCGTGAAAAGAGGGCCGGGGAAGAACCCCAGTGCTCAGGGCAGGATGAAAGCAGCGGGAGCGACCCCTCGGAGACCCCCTGCTGACTGGCCCTCCCCCTGCCGTCCGTGAGAGAGGACCCCAACCAGTCCTGGGACAAGGAAATGAAGACCGGGGGTTCCTTCACCACTTGAAGAAAACAAGCCCCGCCAAGACCGCGTAGCCCAGAATCAGGAAAAGCACTTTGAGCAGCCGGTCGTTCTTGTCCTCCAGCTCCTTGGCCAGGATCTCAAAGAAAGTGACAAAAAGGAACGTGCCCCCAGCGATTCCTTGCAGGAGCACCGAGGCCACGCTGCTGGCCACGTTCTGGGCACTCTCAATCCCCGTCCCAATGCCAATGCCCAGTGGGATCATCAGGCTGACTGTGGCAGCCAGCTTGGACGCCTCCTTGATCCTCAGCCCGGTCTTGGCCATGTTGATGCCCAGGGCCACAGCCACAAGGGTCTCGTGGATGGCCACCCCCAGGAAGAGGCTCATGACTTTGTTGCCCTCCTCCTGCAGGCCCAGGGCCAGGCCCTCAAAAACCGAGTGGGCAGACAAGGCAAAGACCAGGCTGAAGAGCCGTAACGGGCTGGAACGCGACAGCTCGTAGACGTCCAGGCCGTGGCTGTGGTGGCCGCGCTCGCCCCGGTGGCCGTGCCCCCAGGAAGGCTCTATGAAGGGGCTCTCAAACTCAGAGTCACTGCCAACGTCTGAGCCCGCGTTGAAGGTCTCCAGGTCAATGAAGGAAGGCTTCTCCTTCCGGAAGGTCAAGACCAGTTGCTCCACGAAGACCGTCATGAAGAAGCCCATCATCACGACGGTCTCCGCCAGAGGGTAGTCGGTGGTCACATTCCCCAGTTCCAGAAGCTCCTGCAGCTGCAAGAGAAAGACGCGCAGGACGGCAGGCGGGGATGAGAAGCAGAGCCCCAGACCCGGCC